GGCATGCGTAGCACATGACCGAGCCATCGCAGTCGATGATGCTGGATGTTTTCCCGGATTGAGGTGCCTGCAGCACAACCAAATACCCGTTTTCTAATCGCTTCGTTACTGACAAGCTCGCGCCTTTCACAACCAGCCACGCTTCTGAGGCATCGGTGGTCAATATCAATTTCAGTAGAACAACTCCAAACAATTTTAAAACAGGAGCGAAAGTAGTTTGAAGATCACCAAACACCGATGTATGGTTTGTCTTCGATTTTCTCCACGTGTGATGGTGTTAGCTCAATTACTGAGTTCGAATTCGATGCTAAGATTGTACAAACTTTTGCAAATAAAAAGATGTACTCCTAACTGACCCGTCTCAATCTGAAGACACTCACACATTTTGGCTTTTGCTGCAGAAACTTGGGGTGGTTCAGCACGGACAACTGGCCAATCGTTTACTCTACAAGCCCACCAATTGCCTAAGCTTCTTTGATGTCATGCAACGGTGAGAAACGTCCCTCGTTCATTGCCTGAGGATAACTGTAAAAGACACTGAAGCGTCAGTTCACCACGTATGCTGGTGCGATGAACTACGAGTACCAGCGCTCCAAGCAAGGCTCAATGACCGAAGAACAACTGACAGTTAGTTTTCAACCGTCACAGGATGCAGACAGGCGGCGCCAGTGGAACAGGGCCGAGAGTTGGCGCTCCAGAAATTTATCATCGAATGTATGCACCTTATCAACGAAAATTAGTGAACACCACTGATCCTCTTCAGGTGACGGTGAACAGAGTTTTGTGAATGACAGTCATTTTCATGTTATATCCTCACTCGAATCACAGTGCAGTCGAAAAGAACACAAAGTAGAGTGTGGCCGTGGTAGCCAAACGCAGGATGAATTAAACCGACAAACGCTAGTCTGTCACTGAACACTAATGGTACACGAGTTCCTCCCTCTAGATTATTACATGTTTTGGCCGAACCATGATCTCAAAACAGACCTGGAACGGGATTTTAAGGCTGAGCAAACAGAATCCACAACTGAATGATTAGTGTGCATAAACCGGCTCATTTTCACTTGCTCTTCCCGAGTAGTTGCCTACCGGCCTGTCGCGTCGATTGAATGGATCGAAAATCGAAGGAACTACCTTCCTCATCGAACTTATCCAGTCCTCGTTTGAACTGATCTAGATGATGGGCACCTGAGATAATCTACATGTTTGTGTCATTGCGACTCGGAGGATCCAATCAAACAGACTAATGTTATCAAATGCAACTGTAGGCACCGAAATTTTCGATAGGAGGCATCAGTATCTGAGGACGTCTCCGAAGGTGTTTACACGTGAGTGTAAAGGATCGGTAAACGAAAATGCAAAAACAAAATAACAGCCGACGTGATTCGTACCCGCAAACTACAGAGTTATGCTGTGACACGCACAGTCTTTGAACATGCCTCTAGGAATCCACGTACAGACACGGAAGTTTTATTAGCTCTGAGGTCAACGCACGAAACTCAAAGGCTAGAATTGCATCTGCCAATTTTCAGCGATGAAGACATCAGTGGATCTCAGAGGACACGTGTATCGGGCTAGAATGCTGGCTGTATTGTTGTACGATTGTGAGACGTGGCCACTTCGGTCGGAGGACCTGAGAGGTAGTCAGGTCTTCCAGGATGGGATCCAAGTGCCCCTCCCTGTGCTCGGCTAGGGACACTGAATGATATGGCAGTTAACCGACGTCAATGGCGTCCATGTTGTCACTTTCTATCCAGGTTGTCTGACCGAGTGTTGGGTGTGTAGGCGCCTCGGATGTTTTGACAGGATAGCCCCATCACTATCCGCTTTTTCCTCTTTCCACTAAGCGGCTTTCTTCGAATAAATTCATTTGGTTGCACATCCGTGAAGCAAGACCCATCTCAACTGGTGTTGCTATCAGTGGTGATTATGATTACAATAACTAAAAATAACGGCCCTAGTGAAAATGACTGAGGAGTACAGTAGAACACAAGTTAAAATATCACATGGACTTACATGTACGGTTGAGAAACGGCTGATGAATAATGCCGATGATGGGGTGTCCGTGGAGAGCGACACAAACCATTACAGTCACATACTCCAGCAAACCTTCTATAAACAGGAAACGGAAGGGACCATAAGTCGCCGGTTTTGCATGGTACATCTAAGATGGGCGCGGGGAAACCATTGAATAAAGCTTAATTTACCGGTTAGTTCCTGAGTTGCATCCAAAGGATCCACCCAGAGAGTGAGGTCGGATACGGGGATAAAAAGATCAGCATTCGGCAGTCGCGATTCCACATCAGAGTGGAAGACTTCAGGACCAAGGTAAGGTGCACCCTCAAGGACTGGAGGGTGTTCTTCAGAAATGACCTTTTTCAAAAGGATGGAAGAGAAAAAAAACAATGATAAGTCTATAACTGGATTCAAACGGACCACTTGGAACGAATATGCTGCGATTTCTGTTTTACGGTATGAATTCCACGCCAACTTTCGTGGCGAGGGTCGAGGAAAGAAAAAAATAGAGGTTTCGAATACCTGTCCGGATTGATTATGCTTCCAGGTAGTGACCCGGTTCTGTTTCAGTTTTCAGCGTAAATCCGACTATGTACGTGAAAATTAACCAGTGACCGAGTGATAAACTTCAGCAATTGCTTTGCGAGCACGATCATGTCTTTGCGGAGTTTTTTCGGTTCAATATGGCATAGAGGTTGGCACTCCAGCTCCCGAGAGGCAGATTCGTGGTTCGAGACTAGCGGTGTTTTCTGCATTACTCCTGAACGGCCAGGCAGAACTTCAGTCATCGTATCTCTATGTGCTACATGATAGCTATGTGTCAAAGTGGCATCAAAAGTGAATGCTTTCCAAAATTCTTGGCAACACGGCATTATAGATTGCCCACAAGGCTTCAACTTGGACGGGAATGAGCACACTATAATGAACTAACAGCGAAGACTCGATCGACGGAAGTACTGATGACTTTCGTGTGATATGGATCAGTCAGTGACAGATGCTGCATTGCCAGGTTTGCGCTGGTGATTCCAGCCTACTGCTTAACTATTTGTGACCAGGTTGTCCAGCACAGTGAACAGATTAACGGCTACAGGTTTAATTATGGAAACGGACGAGTGCTAAGTCACAAATGCCGCATGCGGTTCTACATACAGAACCTGCGGACCGTTCGTTCCCCTGTCAGTAAGTATAGGACAGTGACGCTCGGCATTAGGTAAGTGAATCCAATATAACCGGGCTTCCTTTTTTCTCTCTTTCGAGGGGTTGAAGAAAACACATGACACGTGCGTCAATCAACTCCATAATGTTCGCCTCACAAGTCATGCTAAAGGTGAGCACCTCGTGGAATGGCCCAAAATTATAAATGAAGGTCGGAACCCAGAAACCTCTCGATAAGGATTAGTCATTGAGGAGTGGTTAGACAATGAGATAAAAGTCACAAGGGGAAACCAATAAAGCATCACTTTTTACCTTGAGATCAGCGAAATCGGAGGCTAGTCCGGAAACAATTATATGATGGGACTTTAGATCAATATCTGTCAGTAGTTCATTTTTCGGACCGCCCCCGCCGCCTTCTGATAGTCCTTTGATACGCGCGTGCAAATTTGAAGATTTATAACTGGACCTGATGACGGTTCCTGCATTCTCTGTTAGGTGCACACACCGTATCAGCAGGCGCTTCACACTGATCACGTTGCCCCGAAGAGGAGTGATGGAGCCAACATTGGAAAAATAGTAGAGTAGCAAAACGATAACAGAAATGAGAAGGATGGTCCAGCCATGTTTATTTAGACGAAATGTCATCATCTCCGTGTATGGAAAGTTGCCTCGTTGACAGAACACAAACTGGGTGGACAAACCCGACTGTGTGAAGTAGTCTGAGGACTAAAGAGAACGGATACGTGTAACCGAATAAGATGAGGTACAATGAAATATTACTCATTTTGTTTAAAACAGTTACCTGAGGGAGAGGGTCAGTTTCAACGTTACACAAGATACCCACAAGCTGACAAACATCCCCACACTGATTTGACCAAAGTCCTTATGCGAAGAGACGGCAGGTACCAGAGTGAATGTGTCTATTTGTGTAGATTATGGTTCGAGGTCAGGTCATGACCTGATCTCGCCTGGATCATTTTCCTCCTAAACATGGTTAGAATAAATAATAATCGATCAGCTGCAACAGCCTTGCGATGCCTAGCCACCATGCCACTCGAAGGAAGCACGAGAGCTAGGATACCGCCAGGTTGCCCAAGCCTAGACAGGGAAGGTTGACATACAGAGGTCGGGTTCGAACCACGAACCTTCCGGTCAGTAAATTCGCGCACTAACCACTTGGGCCATTTAGCCCTCCTAAACATGGTTGAGCTAAGAGGGTTTAACAAATCAGAGGGTATGTTGCATCTGAAGTATATGCTCTATCCGGCGTGATCTATGAAATGGCCCAAGTTCAGCTATCATGTGAATTTCTCCTCCAAAAAACTATCTCACATATCTCGACGTTACCAAGCCGGTTCCTCCCCAAGGGTCATCGAATGTGCAGAAGCGCCGTTCCTGGTGGGTTGGCAGGAGACTAGAGTACTCTTAATGTGTAAGGCCAGGCTGGTTTCTGCCAAATTCAGAAACGTATCTCCGACGTGATATCAAAGTGAACTATTAGATTGCGTTTCATACAGTCTTGTGGGGCGAAAACGTGGTCACTACGTCAGTGTTCACAGAACCATGTAGCCTAACATGAACATAATCGGGTCGGGAATGCTTAAGTTTGTGAAGTGGGCTTGGGGAGAAATAATATATGCGGAACAGGGGCAGTTATAATCCATAGGAAGTCTTATCAGACCACGTAGCTCGATGGCAAGTGGGGTGTCGGCCTCACAGAGTCCTTTCCTCTCAACTGTGGATAATTTGAGAACGATGGAGTGGTGGTCAGTTATAGACACCACAAAGAAGTATAAAATTTCTGATCAGTGAACCCAATCCAGTTTATAATTGACATCCCTATATGGGACATTGAGGGTGCAATACATTAGCAAGCGTAGGCCATGACGTAGACGACGACGTTTTACTTGTCACGAAGACAGGATCACTTTCCATAGACAGTATACGGGGGAGGGTAATTTACTCTTATCAAAAAACAATAAACATTAATTATCAAAAAGGTAATACCAGTTGGAGCTGTCCTGAAGGGTTAGTGAAGACCACAAAATTCTCCACCGATATGTACAGTGTACGGAGGGGCTTTACAGTATCGACTAAGCCGGATAGGTGACTTTATCGGTTGTATTTCAGGTGGTTGTTAGTCTGTTCATCCAACTTGGTAATTTGCTTCCAGACATCTCGTCATCCATTGCAAAGGCATCAATGCGCGGTTAGGTGGGTACTTCCTATCTGTTTGCGTGCGTTTATGCAGTTCATAAAAGAAACCATCGTTCCTCGACCAACTTATAACACAAAGCGAGCACATTACCAGGTTCAGCGAATAAACAGCCGCCTGATCTACAACCAGTTAACGCACCCAAACTATAAGTATTTCAGCAGATTGGTTTTATGAGGTGAAGGCCCTCACGAGGTCCGGTTTCAGCGACGATCGGAACGATCAAAACGAACGAATCGACCAATCATCCATCGGGCTTTTTCCAGTGGATTTAGAGTACAGAGGAGTTCACAAAAAATATCTTTGTATTCAGCCAATTAGAATGTCATGGGGAGAGAGCAATTTGAACATCGCGAGGACCTAATGGGAGTAACTCGTCGAGGTGTAAAAGTCGCCCCAAGAACTGTTGTTTCCTCGAAATGAAATTCTCCGATTCCAAAACTGCTCGCCAAGGATTACCTGTAGGTTGCCTCAAAGAGTGAGCCACCTGGAACACCAAAGAACAACGGAAAAACCGATGTTACCGGTATTGATGTAAACTGGCAGCACTTACAAGCATGGGTTTCAAAACTGGTATAATGGCAACGAACTATTGCGAACCATAGAACAAAAATTCTTACATCTTTCCAAACCGCTGGTCAAAGCATCGTTAACACCTGCGTTGTCCGTCGAGGTTCACATGACTATTGTGACAGAAAGAATGGCTAAGTATGAGCCACGACATCTGCGCAGCTGTTGCTAACAAATCCAGTAAACTAGGGGTTCAACTGATTTTCCCAAGTGCTGTTTCAAAACAAAAAAATGACATGTTGTGATATCACGCAGTCGAGCTGGCGAAATTAGTTCAGTCGATCATTTCAGCACAATCACCGAGAGCAATCAACCATTAGTGTACACTAGGGTCTAAATACAATAAGACGGGAAACCCTGTACAAAAGTATGGGGGTTTCTGCTGCTGCAACTGCGTTCAGCGGGAATAGTGCAAAACGCAGAGCGCTTTGCTTCGCTGAAGCAAGGAAACTGCGCGCAGGATTTCCGTGGTCGACGAAGGACTGGTGTCAAGGCTCCAGCTATGTCCGTCTTGTTTTTCCAGAGGCTGAGTTAATGGGGGCCAGCTGAAATGCGCATCCGCTCGTCGTTTAGGATGTTTTTTGTAAATGGAATCACACGATTTTTGCTGAAACACTCTCTTCGAACCAGGTTACCACAGTACTTGATACAATGTATAACTGTTTCCTGTCAAAAGGACCTCACTTATCCTGACACCCTCGCAATCCTCGACCTATGCAGTATTCGGTGCATGAGGAAACCACGTGCGCCATCACGAACGTCCACACTTTGTGTACGTGCGCCAGAACGTCCACACTTGGTGTGATTTTTTGGCTGTTGATCGCGATGAATCTCGGTATTCATCCGAGAGTGAAGGCGACACGGAAAGATGGCATATAAAAAACATGAGAACATAGCTGTGCAACTAGTCTTCACTGGTCCTTCAACCAGAAACCGTTACACGTCAGTCAACGCCGCAGATATTCACCACCACCCCCCAATAGACACCTCACGGAGAGCGCATAGGAAGATTGCGTTGGTGATTGCCGAGACAAAAACCTGTTATGAACTTGTGCGATGTTTCCGGCTTCCGCAAGGATGAAGAGAGATTTACCTGAACCGTTGTGTAAATGGGTCACGGAGTCCGATGAACCTGAACAGTGAGTGAGTGTTCCAAACACACCGAAGTTGGCCACCGGTTCCATTGAAGTATAGCTTGATTACCCAGTGCTAGTGCTGTGAGCCTGGCGGATCGTAAATTCTGCATTTACAAAGTCTGATATTTTGACGAACTGCTTAGTTGAGCATCACCAGCGAAGACTCAAGTGCGAACGGTTTTTGAGAGGACCGTCTTTCAAACGTTGTGACATGGTGCCCAGATGGTTCACTGCAATCGACTGAGTGGCAGTCTTGGGCTTTAGTTACAAATCATCAAGTGTGATTTATTCCGATTGTTTTACGTCTGCACACTGTTAGTGTGAAATTGGAGACAGCTTACTGGGATTTCGACTGGTGAATTTGCTGTGATGGCAGAAGATTACGAAAAGTCGTGAGGAGCTGCCCTCTCTAGAGAAAGGTGCCAATGTTTCCTCCACAAATCATGAAGGAAACGTCTCACTGCCTTCACATTCCTGTCACAGAAGACAGTACGACTTCACCTCTAGATTGCCTCGTGATATGAGTTCCCTCAATACGGGGACATGCTGTTCTTCATCGGAATGATCCCCGTGAACCCTTCTGAAACTGGGTTTTAGCCAGTATAGCCAGCAGGATCAATGCCGCACAGAAGTTCAACCACCACAAGATGACAGCTTGAGGTAGGGAACTGAACTGAACTGTGGGGCATTGCTTCAGACAAGAAGCATGATCCGAAGAGTCAGAATTGCCCATTACCGCTCCCACATAAGACCGGCCATGCCACAGGTGGTACTCTGCGCGAATGTCATTGAAGCAGCACGACAATAAGCACCGTTGTAGGTACTGAGAGCAGTTGTTGGCCACAAACAGTCGGTTGAAACCCACAAAACCACGAAAAGACCATCGTTATCAGAGCGTCACCCAGGATGAATGTGCCGGGGATTTAGTGGAAACATGGATCAACAAGACAAATGCGGGCGTTCAAGTCCTTAGCAATATTAAGAATATCTCCGTGGGGTGCTCGGTAGATATCTTGAAGTTGTTCACAGAACCGACTTCTGGATTCAGGGTCTGCACTGAAGTGTTGGAGTACGAGTTGTGTGTACGAGTACGAGTACAGCAACAGTACGGGCTGTTTTGTTGTATGGCTGTGAGACTTGGCTTATTCGAGCAGCGGACCTGAGACGTCTTCAGGTGTTCGACAATCGTTGTCTCAGAACCATGGCTCGTGTGGGTTGGTGACGAAGAATCCGCAACGAGGCAGTTAGAGAGCGCGTTCCCGGTTGTGCAACAGGTACTTCCATTGAGGAATGTGTCCAGCCCCAGAAGCTGCGTTGGTTGGGACATGTGGTACGTATGCCGAACCATCGTTTGCCGAAGAGTGCTGTTTTCCATGCCCAACTCAGAGTGGCGTAAACAGAGAGGTGGCCAACCCTTGACTTGGCAGAGGAGTATGAAGGAGATCACGAAGCGCTTGGGTGCTGTCGGTGCTACTCGCCTTCCAGGATGGGGACCGCGTGATCCTCACTGTGCCTGGTTGCAGACACTACAAGATATGGCTGCCAACCTATGTCAGTGGCGTTCTTGTTGTCAGCTTCTATCCAGATTGCTTGAGTGAATCTCTGGAGGTGTAGGCACCTCGGAATGATTGTGTTAAGCTAGCACTAAGTCCCTCCCCCATCCACCTTTATTCTTTTCTTCACAATGAGGCTTTCAAATAAGTCATGGTTGTACGGCAGTGAAGCATCGGTGTTGAACACTGATCTCATGCTATCGATGATGATGATGATGATGTTGAGAGAATCTTTAAACTAGGAACACTGTCATCTTGCCATCCTGCTCCTTGTGACGACCGCACACATGTCAACGAGTTAACGCGTACCTCATCTGGTGAAGGCAATAAAAAATAAAATCATTCAGCGGTAGCACCCTTTCGGCGCCTAACTGCCATGCCACACGAAGGAGGCACGAGGGCTGGGATACGGCAGGGTGGCCCCCACCCCCCACGGGGAAACGAACCACGGACCTTCCGTTCAGTAAATTCGTGCTCTAACCACTTGGCGTGGCGTTCATCCCTTGTCTGACTTGCATGCGCCTCCGCTCAATAACTTTGAAGAAAATACCGATCATACTTCAATCTCACCCCGTGCCCGGGCAATGCGTCTGCATCTCCAAATACATATGACCCTGGCATCTATGATTTAGCCGGGTTCCAGAGATGTACACAGCAGTGTACATTTTAAGAAACCGAGAAACCTGACAACACTTATCATTACCCTATAGCAGATTTTTACAATCATTCATTCAGTCCCTGTGTCCGAGTTACCCCTCTCTACACACAACCCAACGGCCCGGGTGAATGTTATGGCCATTTTTTGTGTTCACATTGTCGTTTCGTATTACACATGCTTTCGCCTTCACTTTCAGCTTATGTACGTCTGTTCTTAGACAAGTAAAGAATTATTCAGTGTTGTTCTCGCGCTCATTCGAGATCGATACTCCATTCGTCGCTGAAGGGTTTTACGCCAACTCCCGCGGACGTGTGAAGGTCTAAGGAAGGCTCTCGCCTGGGTTCACATCATCAAGCGGTGTCAGGCAGGGCTGTCCTCTTATATCTTTCTTCGTCAACTTAGTCATCGAAGGAAATCATTCATCCTTATTAAGAATCATCAGCAGTGCGCATCTCACGAAACTCCAGAGAGTCTCGAACCCGCGACCTCCTGGCTAGTAGTTTGAACACTTAACCAGTCGGCCATGAGCGGCTGATCAGCAGTGATTAACTCGCACTTAGACAGGATATAGCGCCGCTCATCCTTCAATCACGGGATCCACATCACGCGGTCACACGTGTTGACTGGCTCCTCGAGCAACGACTTCTCAGATAGAAGTTTCACACATCGGGTGAAGTTTATTCTTCCACTGAGCTACCTATATATCGTGGGTAATGCGAGGAGATTTGGGATATTTTGTGTGGGATTTCGTCCTGTAAGTGAAGCCAATCTATGCTGAAAAGCCGAGAAGCACTGTACAGCTGATTCATCCTTATTGGGAATCATCAGCAGTGCGCATCTCACGAAACTCCGAAGAGTCGGGAACCCGCGACCTCCCGGCTAGTAGCTTGAACACTTGACCGTTCGGCCACAAGTGGCTGATCAGCAGAGATTATGGAAAACTCATCGAAAGCTCGGAAGATGGAGAAGGCTTTTGCTACCGGAAACAGCCGTGTTCTATACCAACTGATGCGACCAACTGATTATAGGAGGTAATAGGGGCGAGATGGCTCACAAGTTAGAGCGCGAATTTGCTGACCAGAAGATGCGTGGTTCGAACCTGACCTCTGCCTCTCGACTCCCCCTGTCTCGGTTTGGGGAGCCTGGCAGCATACCAGCCGTCGTGTTTCGCTTCGGTGGCACGACAGCTAGGCACCGAAAGGGTATTACGGCTGAACGATTCACCCGTCAGTGAGTCAACAAGTGAAAAAGGCGGCTCATTGACTCTAAAATTGTCGACCGTAAGGGTGAGCCGAACACCTCGATGAATAGTTTAGCCAACCTCCTGCGACATAGCCTCTAAAGATAGTGTATTACGGACGAATGGAATATAAACCTTAATCGCCCGTCGGAAGAAAAAATAAAGTACGAAATACCCGTAATGAAACGTGAGAAGGCACCAGGCCGGACGGTCTGTATACAACCCGCTTCATTATCCTCATCATCATTGTGAGGCAGTAACACTACTGTTGACACTAATGTATGACTACCGTATAACCATGAAGTTCATCTTATTATGATCAGACTTAGAGCAAAAAGAAAAGGAAAAATGGTTGAGACAGAGACCTATGACCCAAAACCAAAAACGCTTTTGAGGCATCGGTGGTTAAAAACCTGAAGATACCTCACATCATCTGACCGTAGAGACCATGTCTCATCCGCAAAACAACGCAGCCCTTACTGTAGCCTGGGACGAATGACCCTTAAGACCCAGTGACATGGCTTTTTGACGCCCCAAATGATTCAAACTAGCAAACGTGACTAGCGCCTTTGAGATTCTTGCACTGACTTCATCAGAGATAAAACAACTAACAAAGTATACGAAATTTTCCATAACCTCCGGTGATTTACCTTGAAATCTCAAGCGTACAATCGGAGACTGTACGTTCTGAAGCATAATTTTGCACTTTGAAGGTGCTAGGCGCATGCCGAAAGATGTTATAACGGTAGGCAATCTATTCAATAGGGCTTGTGCTTTGTCTTAATCGTCGAAGATGAGGGCTATGTCGTCTGCATACTCCAGATTGACCAAGTTCTCATCAGCTGCAATTTGATCAGGGGGGTTTCGAAGGCGTTCGCCTAGTTGTTTCATCAATGACGAGGTTGAACAGGAGTGGAGTGGTATGCTTACCGGACACTGCTTTTTGTAGAGAAGCTTTTGGAGAGCTCACCATACACCCTTACACGCCAAAAAGTGTATGAATACAGGGATCGGATTACGTTAACAAACCTCTTCGGCGTACCCTGTTGATCAAGTGTAGTTAACAGCACTGACAGATGGGGAGGATCTAACACCTTCTTGAAGTCAAGGAACACCACGATTGTGGGTCGTTTGTACATGTGGCATTGTCTTAGCACCTGACGGAGCGTGAAGAATTGGTCAACGCAGCCTCTACCCGGTTGAAATCCCACTTGATTCTCACGAGTCAAGGTTTCGCGCGACGCAGTAAAATGACGAAGAATCGGTGAGCCAGAAGCCTTGTCATAACAGGAGTCAAACGAACATCTGTATTACTTAATTCACTGAGAGTAGCCTTTTTTCAAAGTGGACAGTGTTATCGACTTACCCCAGTTGTGCGGGAAAATCCCTTTCTACCAGATAGGCCTCAATAGACTAGACAGGCGATGGTTGAAACCCACCGCCATCCTTGAACAGCACAGGGGGAAGGTCTTCGTGACCAGCAGCACTATGACGCCTGAGTAGAGATATACACTCGGATAATTCTGAGGTTGAAGACAGCTCCATATTCATAGGCCACCTGTCTATCGAAGGCCAGGATTCCGGAGTGGAGATAGCA